ACTGTGTCAAGAGATGGCCTACATCACTACTCTAGGAAGTGGCCCAGGTCTGAGACCTCTGGCACTGGGCAGTGGGTACAGCAATTCACACCTGTATTCTGCTCCCCATAGGTACTGCTATGGGCAGGTTCTGTTCCCTATGGGCATCCTCAGGCCCGGACCTCACAGCAGGATTGCAGTGTGGATGTTTTGACACTCACCCCTGATGCAGGATTGGCTGTCCAGCCCAGCTCTGCAGTAGCCGTCCTGGTGTCCATTAATGTTTCTGTAGATCAAAATGAAAGAAATGGATGAGTCAGAGGGATTGTTATACAGTGGCCTTGATGTTCACCAAGTTATTTACAATAATAAGTGTCACGCTAGAAAAATCTCTGGGCATTTTCAAGCCTAGGCCCCTCTGAGAAACCCCAGGCTCAGAGAGCAAAAGTCTGCCAAGATCATGCGACTCATGGCAGAGCTGGATGCAGTTCTCAGGTCTCCTGAAGATAAGTCCGGTGTTCTCACTTTAGTGACCCCAAGCTTCCCATGGGAGGTGAAGTCATCTGCCACCTGCCACTTTACCCCCAAGATCCAGCTTCTTCCCAGCTTACTCTCCCCAGAGGCTCTTCCAGGGCCATGCTGACTATGTAGCCAAATTTAATTCCTTCTTCAGACATTTCTGGTCTACCTTCCGCCTTCCCTCCTCTCCACTGGGTTGTTACTCCAATCTCTGCCTTCCCTCCTGCCTCCCCACACACTCTCCTCCTCCTCCCCATCAGGGATCTGCATTGACACCTTTGGGCAACTCCCCAGCAACTTGTCAGCCCTCCTGCCCTTTGCCTCTGGGCCTAGATACACACTCATCTCTTTCCCCAAGTCTTTGCCAAAAGTCTCAAACAGCTTTGCAAAAGCTCCACCCAGAACATGATACATATCTTACACCCCAGCAGCCTACTGTGCTGCAATGGGTGGCGAGGGTGGCTGCAGCAGTCAGCTCCCTGGTGACCAATCTCTCTCTGGCACAGGAAGGGCAAGATAGATACCCTGACTCTTCCATGAGCTCCCGGAAGCCATCAGGGGTAAACTGCACATATTTCAATTACACAATAATTATACCCATGAAACCATTACCACAAT